TGCAGACAAAATTTTTCTGTGAGTTCACATACACACTAATGGTAGATTAAAACATTCTGCCCATCTCAAAGGGAATGAAGAGTCCACATAGCAGAAGTTGGTGGAATATAACATGAAATACTCCCAGAGGGTATTCTCAAAAGCAGGTGTGTAACTCGTCATTCAGACACAGAATCTTGACTGTAATCCTTAGGGTCATGTGGTTATTATGGTGAGGAGTACATGAGAGAATCCACATAAAACACATATCACAGGCCTGGCACATAATAACTTCCTAGGAAATGTTGCCTATTATTACTATTAATAATTTAATTTAAGTATGCATATAGAATAATATTTCAAGTGTTTTTTTATTTAGGTCTTTTTGAGGATATCAATTGGATTTATTGAAAATGACTACATTTATTGTTTAATTTACTATGTTATATATAAACAATAGTAGCCAACATTTATTATCCAATGGTTTTATGATATGCAAGGCATTATGCGACACACTCTTAAAAAAAAAAGAAACCTATAAAGTGGTCTCTTTTACTATCTTTAATACATGAGGAAAATGAGGCTTGGAATGGTTGAAGTAACTTGTCCAAGATCACTCAGCTGGTGTAAAGATGGCATGGGGGCATTGTCTGACCTCCTCTAGCTTCACAGGGAGGAAGGAGAATCAAGATCAACAGCCCAAATCTGATTCCTATGAGGCAGAGGAGAGACATATCTCCTTGTCTCCACCGTCTTTACCAATTCTGACACCAACCATCCCTTCCACGGCACTCTCTACTTCTCTGCTGGGTTTGATAATTCATTGCAATGGCCACATAGAACTCACAGACAGTATTTACAAGGATGAGGTTTGTTAGGGAAGTAACAGGTTACAATTCAGGCTCAGGAACTCTCAGGATACAGTTCTTCCATCAGGACAAGCTCTTTTCAGCTGTGCTTGCAGGTACACCTCTCTGGTCCTAGGCCTCTGCCCTGCTCCGGCAACTGTTACAAAGTTCTTTTAGCCCTGCAAGTAAGTCCCCAGTGGCACCCCAGGCACTCAGCTTCCTCCCTCCGTGGGCCAGGAAGCCCACCACTCTGTATCCTGTTGTCATTTTTCTGCCACCACTTCTTGAGCTCTGTCTCCAGCTTCCAGGAGCTTCTCAGCACAGGGATCCTGGGTCCAAAGGACACACTCTCTGCTCCTGGCTGTTCTTCCTTGGTGGTGGTGGAATCCTCTCTCTGCTCTGGAATGGGCTTTCTTTTAAGGCAAAACTGACCAATCTTCTTGGTGAGCTAAAATTGCTTTATTTGCACAGTCCCATCTACTCCCAATCACTTGGGTGGGAGTTACAAGACCAGGGCTAGAAAGGCCACACAAAAGTGATCCATCGTACTGCAGCCAGTAAGTGACAAAACCAGGATTTCTACCCAGGGCTGCCTGATTCCAAAGCTGGAGCTCCTAACTGTTGTAGTCCATTGCCTTGTTGTTCATATAGACCAGGGTTCAGCAAACTATGGTCCATGGACCAAATCTGGCCTGCAGCCCCCTTTTGTATGGTCACAAGCTAAGAATGGTTTTTGCAGATGAACCTTTGCAATTAATTTGATGACAGGGGATGTTAACTTTGAATTCCAATTAAGTGAAATGCTATCTCCAAAAGAATTCCATTCTTTCATTGGTATATTTGCATTACAAAAAATTATTATTATTATTATATGTTGAATTTTGTCAACAAAAGATTGGAAGGAATTTGCGTTCTTTCTTGCTGTAGAAGTACTTGCATAATATCCTTGATTTTGTCTTTTGACCTACAAAGCCTAAAACATTTACTATCTAGTAAAAGTTTGCTGATTCTTGATATAGACCATAGCTAGAGTATCTGGAATATATGGAAGATTCTAGCTGATTCCTCTGCACTAATGCATAACCCTTCATCAGTGTGACTGGGAGGTGGACTTTGTTTCAGTCCCACCTTAATGTGTCATTTACTCTTTTTGACCTACAGGATCTGGTCTGGGCTAGAATGTCTTCTTCTTAATTCAGGGCTCTTATCACAGGGACACTGGGGTAGCCATGAGTTGGAATCGACTTGACAGCAATTGATTTGGTTTGTTGGTTTATTACAGGGAGAGCCTAGCCTATGCTTGTGAATCAAGCTGCACCTTAACCTGAACATTCTGTCTCAGCAGCCCCTTGAGCATAGCACTCTGTACCTAATCATGAAAGTCTGTTTCACAAGAAGTGTCTCTTCTTTCCTATGTAGGGTCTGACCTAAAGATAGAGTCCCCATTAGGGCAGAGCCATGACATCATCACCTCAGTTATTAAACCCCTGCAACAGTGGTCAAGATATGACTGTGTAATATTTTTAATTCCGTTTTTCTTGATGAGAAAAGGAGCCTGAGTTACCCTCTTCTTTCTCCTTTTTGTGTTCAAGCCTAAAGAGATCTGTTGACTGACCTTTGTTGTTTTTGTTAGGTGCTGTCAAGTCGATTCTGACTCATAGCGACCCTATGTACAACAGAACAAAATACTGCCCAGTCCTGCACCATTCTCATGATTGTTATACTTGAGTCCATTGTTGCAGCCGCTGTGTCAATCCATCTTGTTCAGGGTTCTCCTCTTTTTCACTGACCCTCTACTTTACCAAGCATGATGTCCTTCTCCAAGTACTGATCCCTCCTGATAACATGTCCAAATTATGTGAGATGAAGTCTCGCCATCTTTGCTTCTAAGGAGCATTTTGGCTGTACTTCTTCCAAGAGAGATTTGTTCGTTCTTTTGGCAGTCCATGGTATATTCAATATTCTTCACCGACACCATTATTCAAAGGCATCAATTCTTCTTCGGTCTTCCTTATTCATCGTGCAGCTTTCACATGCATATTAGGTGATTGAAAACACCATGGCTTGGGTCAGGATCACCTTAGTCTTTAAAGTGACATCTTTGCTTTTTAACACTTGAAAGTGGTCTTTTGCAGCAGATTTGCCCAATTCAATGTGTCTTTTGATTTCTTGACTGCTATTTCCATGGGTGTTGATTACGGATCCAAGTAAAATGAAATCCTTGACAACTTCAATCTTTTCTCCATTTATCATGATGTTGTTTATTGGTCTAGCTGTAAAGATTTTTGTTTTCTTTATGTTGAGGTGTAATCCATACTGAAGGCCGTGGTCTTTGATCTTCTTCAGTAAGTGCTTCAAGTTCTCTTCACTTTCAGCAAGGAAGGTTGTATCATCTGCATATCACAGGTTGTTAACGAGTCTTCCTCCAATTCTGATGCCCTGTTCTTCTTCATAGAGTTTGTATGATTATTTGCTCAGCATACAGATTGAATAAGTATGGTGAAAGGATACAACCCTGATGCACACCTTTCCTGCCTTTAAACCATGCCATAGGTTGGTTGAACTTGGCCATGGGTATTCATTTTAATAAACCAACCAGTTGCAATCGAGTCTATTCTGACTCATGGCAACTCCATGTGTATCAGAGTAGGACTGTGCTCCATAGGGTTTTCAGTGGCTGATTTTTTGGAAGTAGATCACCAGGTCTTTCTTCTTAGATGTCTCTGGGTGGACTCAAACCTCAAACATTTCAGTTAGCAGTAGAGCATGTTAACCATTTGTACCACTCAGGGACTCCATTCATTTTAATAGGTGCTCTCCTTTAACTGCTTCAGTTTTATGAGTTTTAACTAAGTGTTATTTTTATTGACATGCCCCTACGTTATTTTATCCCTAGGATGGGACCTCTTGTGAAGTCTTGGGTGAGTGACTTAACCACCTGGGCCTTGGTTTCCCTATCTGCAAATTGAGAATTGGCCTAACAATCTCCATGTTCTATTTCAGTACTAAGATTTAGGAGTAAAAACTAAATAGACAAATTAGACATTCTTACCTTTTTCTTCCTTTCTCTTTAAATAATCCTATGGGAAATTTACGGGAGAATAGAGGAGGATGTTAATTTCTTCCTGCTTGACTCATAAGCCATTTCTATGCTCAGGTGTTATTAGTTGCCGTCAAGAGGATTCCAACTCATGGAGGCCCCACGTCTGCAGACTAAAACTGCTCCGTAGAGTTTTCAAGGCTGTGACCTTTTGGAAGCAGATTGCCAGGCCTCTCTTCCGAGATGCCTCTGGGGGGGTTGGAAGTGCCAACCTTTTGGCTAGTAGTCGAGTGCTTAACCCTTTCCGCCACCCATGGATTCTCATGATCAGATAGGGTGTGAAAATTTATCTCCATAAAGGAGACTGGCAGTTTTCCCAGCCAGGCTACAAGCCAGTTTCTCAAGACATCAGACCACTCCTTCTTCTAATTTTAAAACAATATTATCTTTCTGGGTGCTTTCTCCTGACGATCTACACCTGCACATAGTCTTGTGCATTGTATGCAGTAGACTGGGTTATTTTTCAAAAAGTGAATTTATTCTTGTCATTCCCATGCTTCATGCCATCTCCTATGCTTACGATGCAATCCTACCTCCTAAATTCGGCCCACATCTCTCTTGTTTCTTTCTCTTTTTCACTCTAGCCATTCCTTCTTTCTCTCAGTTTCTGGAAAGCACTAAGCTCTTTCCTGACTCAGGGCCTTAGCAACATTTCCCTCTGCATTAATTGCTCTCCCCTGTGCATCCTGCCTCAGCCTGTCTTCACTTCCTTACATATGTGTCTCCTTCTCATTTTTGAGATCTTATTTCAAATGTCGTTCTTCAAAGGAGCCCTCCACACCCACCCAACTGGAAGCAGGTTGCCCCTGTAAAATCGTAGAGTCTTTTGCATTACAAACATATCTTTATCATGATTTGTGATTTTTTTATTTTTGTTTGTTCCTTATTGATCATTCATCTCCCCCATAAGGCTGTAAGATCTGTGAGGACAGAGATCATGTATCATTTATTTGCCAGTGCATACCCAGTGCCCAGCACATAGTACATGCTCAATAAATACATATTGAATGGATGGAGGAGTGATTACTACTGCCTTTTCAACAAAGTTGTTGTATTTACTACTGATTTCTTAGATTTCCTGTCCTTCATCTGCTAGAGAGATGAAATCCATTACCACGATAAAAAAAACATTTTATGGGGTCAGTATTCTAATAAAAGAAATACAAAAAAATTTGCATTTTTTTTTTAAATATGAAAATTTTTTGCATTTATATTTGTACTTTGCAGATTGGAAATAAAGGAATCTACAAAGCCATCAGTGAACTGGATATCCTTCTTTCCTGGATTAAAAACTTCCTGGAAAGCATTTCGTAAATCAAGAAGCCAAGTGCATTAATTTGATAGTTATTTTGAAATACTATGAGAACACCAGAAAAAAATTTCTAACAGTGTATTTCTTTTTAAAAATTCTATACAGAGTACTAACAAAAAGTAAAATGATTCAGAATAGACTAAAAGAATTTAATGTAATAATGTTTTGAAAACAAGCAAATTATCACTAATGTGTGTGTTATTTGTGTTTTTAAGGAATATTTTCATTCTGAACTTGTTTTATTATTCACAAGTAAATGGTATAAATTTAATTAAAGGTGTATAATTTGAATTAACACATGTAATATTTGTAGAGGGAAAATAACAGATTTCTGGCATATAATATAATGTTATTGAGCTGTAGGTAGATGCTATGTATATGATCATTGTCTATTAAGGGCTTGATGATTAAGTAAGCCCAGTGTGAACTTAGCTCTCAGTAGATGTTAATTTCAATTAAATAAACTGTTTCTCTTGATCTGTTTTTCATGACAGTATGCTGGAGTTTCATCGAGTGCAATGGCTAACGATCAGATCGAGTCAAATAGGACACACAAGCCAACTAAGTTCTTTGAATGATTTACTGGGAATGTCTTTGTCTGATAACCCAAGCCACAAAGACCACATGTAACCAGACATGAAATGATGAGGAAGCCTGATAATGCTTCTTCCGGGTGCTGTACAGTTAGGAAAGGTGATAGAGGGCAAATAAAAGTCTAAATGCAGCTCAGATTCCACTACAATAAATGTGTCATATTGTCTAAAACTTTATTTGGACAATTAGCCCTTCAGGGTCAAGTCCTCAGTTTTACAGGCCCACACCCTGAACCAGGGATGGTTGCATTTTGAGAAATAGCTACATACCCCAAATGCCCATGACTTGCTTTATAAACTCAAAAGCCATTTAGCATTTACAGAGAGAGATATCTTCTGGTAGAATAACCATTTGTACATTTTGTGGATCATATCTGTTGTTGTTGTTAGATTCCAACTTATAGTGACCCTATGCACAACAGAATGAAACACTGCCTGGTCCTGCGCTGTCCTCACAATTGTTGCTATGCTTGCGCCCATTGTTACAGCCACTGTGTCAATCCATCTTGTTGAGGATCTTCCTCTTCTTCACTGACCCTCTACTTTACCAAGCATTGTGTCCTTCTCCAGGGACTGATCCCTCCTGATAACGTGTCCAAAGTATGTGAGACATAGTCCTGCCATCCTTGCTTCTAAGGAGCATTCTGGATGTACTTCTTCCAAAAAAGATTTGTTTGTTCTTTTGGCAGTCCATGGTATACTCAATATTCTTCACCAACACCACAATTTAAAGGCATCAATTCTTCTTCAGTCTTCTTTATTCATTGTCCAGCTTTCACATGCATATGAGGCAATTGAAAACACCATGGCTTGGGTCAGGCGCACCTTAGTCCTCAAGGTGACATCTTTGCTTTTCAACACTTTAAAGAGGTCTTTAGAAGACTAAATTTCCAATTAAAAAGTTTTGTTTGTCAGCATATAACTAGAGTTAAAGGATCTGAACATAGGGCATAGCAGAAGGAACCTGAAGTGCCAGTGAGTAGTGTGGTGTGATGGAGAAAGTCCTACAGTGAGATCAAGAGACCTGGCTAGACCTGAATTCCTTTGTGTCTCTGCCCTCATTCTCAGAGGGTCCCCTTACAAAACAGTGACCCTCACCCAAGCCAACCCCTCATTCCTGTCACCCTGCTTCACTTTTCTCTAAATAACTTCTTTTCCACTGACATGCTTGTATTGACTTGTTTATTGACTATCTCCACCATATCTGAATGTAGGCTCCATGGGGCAGGGTTTTTGCCTGTTTTGCTCCCTGCACCTAGATGAGGGCCTACATAAGTGGGCAGTAAATAAATACATGGTAAATATGCAAACCCATGAGAAAATGGATGGAGGCCTTGATTCTGCTGCTCTTGGGATGTGTGGCCAGTGCCCAGTCACTCAGCCTCTTGGGCTTGTTTCTGGATTGGTCCTGAGGGAAATTTGCCACCATGAGTGCGCTTTACACATATCTGCACAGTGAGGGATTGAAGGCCTTCTGTGTTCTAGCTACCCTCATCCTCTTGTGGTTTCATTCATGCTCTGCTTTTTGCATCACCTGCCCCCACCCCTGCCCCCAAACCGTGCTTTGCCTAAATAATTTCTCCTGATCCTTTAAGATTCAGTTCCAACATATCCTGCTGTTAATGGTTCCATATGTGCTGCACTTATTCACAGAACTTATCATAATTATAATTAATTAATTAATTTAATGTCTGTCTCTCCCACTAGACTGTTGTGGTCTGATTCACTGTAGTTCTTCCAAGAGCCTTATACATAGTAAGTGCCCAAAAAATATTTATTGAATGAATAAGTGAATAAAATAATTAATTGGATTAGATGGTCTCCAACTTTTCTTCTGGCCCTGGCATTCTCTCTGCTATATTTTCAATGGTTAGCATGGGGAATGTGATATAACTGTGCTTCCCAACTTTTGTCCTCTAATAGAACCTACACTACTGTTTGCATAACCATGGATTTAAGTAACATATTTTTTTTTACTTCCCCCAAATAAAAGGTAACTGTAAATAAATATATGACTTAAAATAAATTACCAAACTTAAATAAATACATTCTTAACTGAGTTAAAACACGTTCGTTTGTGTACCACATAGAATCATCTTGTAAACTCCTGGTGGTATCTTGTAAAACTCTGGTGGAATGTGTCTCACACTTTGGGAAACACTGCACTATAATGAATTTCCACTGCTCATTCCGGCTCAGCTTAGAAATACTTAGAAATTAAGACTTGATAATTTTAACCACAGATACTAGTTTTGAAAAAGTCAAGCCATGATGTTTAGGTTTCATACTGGTTTCAGAGCTTCTGTCATTGTTTCCGGAGTCGGAGGTACGAAAGCATGTTCACTCAGTCATTCCATGGTTCTGATGACTGTGGCTCTCAAGAGCGGGTGCCAGGATGGCAATACTGCCATCATCCTTCCCTCATCACCCCTCTGCGACAGCAGTCTCCTCCCAGGTAGCCATGCTCACTACAGCTGGCAAGGGAAGAAGCTATGGAGTCACTGTCCTTCCTGTTAGTGAGGGCTCTGGATCAGTCAAACGTACACACAGTGGAAGGAACAAAAAGCGAAAGCTCAATCAGCCTGAAAAATCTTAAAGGCAGACGTGGAACTGTGCTATGAATTACTATACATCATAAAAATTCATAAGGATGGACTTTCCTAACTACGGCTGTGAGGTATTAACTAAAATTAGAACCAGTCAATCAATTCTATAAACATTTATCGAATGCTTACTGTTTGCTGGTCAATCATGGCTGAGGTAGTAATGATAAATAAAACTCATAGCTTCTTCTTAGCAATTTATAGTCTAGGAGGGAAAACACACATGAAAACAATTATACAGTGAAATGCAAACAATAATGGAGATATGTACAAAGTGCAACGGAGTAGAAGTCAGGACAAATTTTTACTGAGGTAAAGTTTAAGGTAAGTTATTATTTAAGACTGAGCTCAGGTGTCACCTCTTCCAGCAAGCCTTTCTTGATTCTCCATTTTTGACTCCCAGGCTGGGTTAGATGCTCCTTGCTTAGCATATTTTCAGAATTCATTTATCACATTATATTATAATTTTATGTTTGTTTGCTTGTCTCTTTCTTGAAGACACAGGCTTAGTCCTACTCAGGGCCTAGCATGGTGCTTAGCATATAGCAGGCATTTAGAAAATAAAAATGGAAGAAAACAATGGAAAAGGGGAATGGATTTGGGAGATATTTAGGAGATAAAATTAATAGGACTTGGTAGCCAGTTGTCTGGGGGTAATCTAGAATGACTCTAGGCGTCTACATTTTCTACTGACTTGCAATAAAAGAGGACCATAAGAATGCATTATATTGAGATTCTAGCATCTCATTTTGGCCAAACACAGAAATGCTTTGAAATTTGAACTTCACAGAAGTATAGAATCACATACTAATAGGAAGTACTAATAAGACTAGATTGTCCAATTTTGCTTCTTAGACTAGAATCTTGTCTATAAAAACTGCCCCCTTATAGGGTATGCTTGACTACTTGCAATTATTAAAGACTAAATACCACCTGGAAAAGCTCTCTCTATTTCTAAATAATGCTACCCATTAGAAAATTGCTTATATCGATCTGAACTCCAGCTTCTTGAAACTTATCACATCTTTTTTCTAGGTTGAGAATTTGGATTGTAGAGTAACTCTGATCTATCTTCCATAGGACAGGTGGGTAAGATAGGATATATGTTGGGGAATGGGAGGCCTTGCCCCTTCCTTTTAAAGTTGCAAGCTGGTAGTTACATACATCATGTGTGTTCCCATCTCAGGGACAAAACTTAGTTACATATTCACATCTAGAAGCAAGGAAGGTGGGGGAAATGCAGTCTTTATTCTGGATAGTCATAAATCCAGCTATACTATGAAAGAGAAGAGGAAAATGCATGTTAGATGATGTTTTAGGCTGGGTTCTCTAGAGACGCAAAACCAGTGAAATATATATATATATATATTTTACACATATGTAAAAAATATATATATAAAGATTTATCTCAAGGAAATGGCTCACGTGGTTGTGGAGGCTGGCAAGTCCCAAATCCATGGGTCAGGGGTCGGGTTGGAGGATTTTCCTGACTCATGTGGGTGCAGGGGCTGCTGAATCCCAAATTGGCAGGTCAGATGACAGTCTGCTGGCCCATGGGGCTGTGGAAGCTGGTGAATCAGATCAGATGGCAGGTTGCTGGCTAAGAGGGCTGCGGAAGCTGGCAAATCAGGTAAGATGGTAGGCTACCGGTTCACAAGGCTGCAGAAGCTGGTGAATCCCAGAATTGGCAGGTTAGATGATTGGCTGCCAGCTCAAGTCTCAAGAACCAGAGGTCAGATGATGATGAGCTGGTTGCAGGATCCAGAGCAGGAGCCAGCAAGCTTTGCCAGAACATCCATATATATTGGATGCAGGTCA